AGCGACAATGGCCCGAAGTTTGCGGCTCAGGAGTTTGCAGACTTCGCACGTGACTATGGCTTCAAGCACGTGACGAGCAGCCCGCGCTATCCTCAGTCCAACGGGGAAGTTGAGCGCGCGGTCCGGACGATCAAGGGCCTCTTCTCCAAGAACGACGACCGTTTTCTGGCGTTACTGGTCTTCAGAGACACCCCCGGCCGTCTGGGTTCAGCCCCGCACAGCTGTTGATGGGACGACGGCTGCGGACCAGCTTACCGAAGCCGTCGGAGAAGCTGAGACCCGAGTGGCCATCGACGGAGGTCTTTCTCAACAAGGACAAGGCAGACAAGCGTCGGCAGGCCACCGACTTCAATCGTCGACATGCGGCGAAGGAACTGCGTCCGCTCGCTACAGGCGGGGATGTCTGGGTCACGGACGTCCAGTGCGGTGCCAAGGTTCTGAGCGAAGCACAGCGACCTCGTTCTTACGTGGTGGAGACACCCCGAGGAGTTCTGCAGCGGAACCGGAAGCATCTGGTGCCGTACAAGCCTCCAGTGGCGCCTGTTCCAGAACCTCCTGATCTACGGGAGTCAGACGAATCACTTGCTTATGGACCTCTTGGTCTGCAGCAGCGGACTCTCAGCCGTCCAGCAACCCCTGATGTCGTCTGTCAGAGACCCTTGGATCCTGAGTCTGAAGTAGTTCAGAGGTCTCGATATGGTCGGGCGATAGTCCGCCCCAAAAGACTGAACCTACAACTACGGTCTGTGTTACGAGAGGAGATGTACTCTTTCCAACGTTGTGGTGTTGTTGTGGTGTTGGGAAGAGTTGATGGTTTTAGGTTTTAGGCGTAATTGGTATCTTCGGTCTTTGTTAGAAGGAGAGATGTACAGTAGCGCCACTAACCTAGAGGGCGCCACGTGTTCGTTAAGTTGGTTATAACTTATAAATAAAGCCGCCGGGGGCGAGCTGCTTCTTCTTCGTCACCGGCTCTCGGACCCTGCGTGTCGTGTTCCACTACACGACACGCAGGTCCGCGGTGCCGCGTCTAGTGAACATGATAATGTGATGAGTATATACATGCATGATGACTACGACTTGGATTGTTTGGTATTGGGGAGGATAGCAGTCCGATTCGCAGAGGTCCAGATGTTGTGGAGGCGGGTTGGGCGGGTCAGCAGCGAGCCATGGGGATTTGGCACGCCGTTCGATCGGTGCATGAAGGAGCCCCCTGGAACATGATGGCGCTGTTGCTCACTGGGGTCCACTGGGGTCGAAGCATCTAGCTCCAAGGAGGTAGCCCAGTCAAAGTAGAAGCTGCCGCTTCCGAGGAACCAGGGCTCAGATTGAGGCACCGCCGTCGCCCAGTGTGTCATCCTCTCAACGTCGTCGTCGTTGCGTTCTTTATTTATACGCGTATATATGTATAAATATAATAAGACAGGATAAAAAGACACAATCGAACTTCCAGCGGCGCGCCGTTCTAGTTATATTTATAGTTATACACGACTGAAAGAATTTCTTCAGTTTGTGTCTGTAACCGAGCTAAAACTTTACACACACAGGCAAATTCAAAGCAAAATATATACAATGCAAGTGTTTCTGTCCCTAGATAACAATTGCTTATATTTGAAATCCTGGACACAAATTTTGATTGTGAACATCTAATTATTATATAGTCCTATTATAACCGCCACATTATTAGTCAATATGCTGTCACAAACGCATTGTACGGATCACTTTTCGATAAGCCTATGTAAAGATAGCTTGGTCGCAAGCTTCTTGGTGCACGGCGGAGCGCTAACTTTACAGGGTCAAAATGCGGGCCGAATTAGAAAGTCTCGAGGAATAAAAAGTATTAATTAAACTACCGAAACTTTAACTGCGGTGTGCGCTATCAGTAGGCAGCTATTATATTCCTCGGGAACTTTACGACTCTTCATTTCAGTGAGAAGAACTTTAAAATGTTGTCAAAGTGACCCATAGGACCCAATGCAACAATATTATATCGGGCCCAGGAATAAAAAGTATACAATCCTGAGGTTCAAGTAGCTATTAAATGAGAGTGTATTAGTGCCTTCTATAAATATCCCGGGAAACTTAAGGATTTCTGCAGAATTTCGGCTGAAATTATCATTTTACTGCGTTTTGCTTAGAATAGCCAAGAGAGGGCGCAAGGAGACCGTGTCCAGTAGAGTTTCTGTATAGACTCCCTACGGGAGCCAGAGTTGCGCGTCTGCTTTCCACGTGCCGCCGCGCCGCTATTCGCCGAGATCCGATCACGTGAGGAGCCGGATCAAGTGCCGTGCAGGAAAGTAGACGTTGCACGCGCCCCGGCGTACGTTCCCCTGCTTCTGAGCGCGCCGCGCGCCTCGAACGCGCGGCGCCGCTATTCGCCGAATTCAGTCACTTGACGAGCGGGATCAACATGCCGTGCAGGAAAGACGGCGCTACGGAGATGAACGCGCAACTCTGGCTCCCCTAGGGAGCCTAAACAGGAACTCTAGTGTCCAGGAATGCTGGGGATGCTCCGATAAACTACGGTGACTTAGATTGAGCTCGTGAAAACATCGCTTTTGTTTCGATTGTGACTCATATTTCTCCCCAAAGTTCGTACATGGAAGGTTTCCCCCTTGCCTTTCTAAAGGCTCCTTTTGTTTCCTAGAGTTTCCGCCAAAATAATGCTCAAACAAAAGGGGTGGTTTTGCAAAAGTAACGATTGCCACAGTGAGGCGCAACGCAGAACGGGAAACGACTCACGACAACAATGAAAACTTCAGTGCCAAGAAAATAAGAACAAAAGAAAATAACAAGTAAACAGAAAAAAATACACTTTTTTTTTTTTGCTTGTTGTACATTTAACCCCGCTACAGCAGAACGCTGTGGGTTTTTTGTTTTTGTTTTTGTTTTCCGTTTGGCAGTCATTATTCTCGCAGATATTGTCTGTAAGCAAACATTAATAAGCAGAGAACAGGACAGAAAGCGAACTAAGAGCAGGGTGACCTCTCAAAATGCTAACGAAGCGTCCCCCAATGTTGAATGCTTTTCTCAAAGCAACGTACTTCAAGAAGGTGCGACCAGTGTCGTGGTTATGTAGGCTCTCTTTGTTATCCATTCACTCATTTCCGTATCTCAAGTTACCTTATAGTGAACTCCCCATATAGGTAATATGGATCGTAGTTAAACGATGCGTTTAACATCAGCGGTGTCACTATAGCTGAAGCGACCTTTTTTTTGTCTCAGAAATGTTTTGTAAAATGTGCAAGTGATATCTTGCAGCTCCTTATAGTTGGACTGCATATAATAAACCCACGATGTTTTTTATTTTTTTTTATGTGTCGTTTTGTGCAGTTGCGTGCTAATAAGCCATTCTGATAAACTAGATTTGCGTAACTGTATGTCACTGACGTCGATACAAATGTGGCCACCAGTGTCACTGACGTCGACACGTGATGCGGAAGTATCTTCAAAAGTAATTGAAATAGATTTCTAAGTGTCTGTACTCTACTCAAGATATTTTACAGTGAAAGTAACTTGAGTAGTATTTTAAATACTTTATGAATTTGTAACTTAACTTAAATACTTTTTTCGAGTATTCCGTCCAGCACTGGCGAAAATACGTGTTCTGGTCAACTTGCTCGCCGTAGTCAGGGTTTTGTTACACAACTGCTCCCGCCTTGTTCGTTCTTTAAAATAAATTAGCTCTAATAACCCTTCTAGTTTCGGTTCACTTTTTCTGACATGTGCTCCAGCGTTTAGCTCCCAGCCGCTCCTGCAGCGTGCATTGATGTTTGGCCGGGGTGCGATTTCCTGTGCTCATGTTCTTTTAGGCTGTGTTCCAAATCTTACCCAAATGGATCCGAGTTACTCCGGCGGATCGTGTCACGTGATAGCACAGATTGAAAAACGCTGGACGCGGGTAGGTTTGAGAACGCCAAGGGTACAAAACCCTTACCCTAGAGTAAGATCAAGTAAATTTTGGAACACGGCCTTAGTTTCGCTATCTGAAGACTTCAATTTTTTTAAACTCAAGTGCTCAATGCATAAGTTCTTTTCCGGAAATCGCACACGTGATATGAGCTATTCTGACGATGAGCTGCGCCTCCGCGTGGGGTATTTAAACTCACGTTTTCTGTTTGTTTTCTTCATCAATCTTCGTTTTCTTTAAGATAATGAAATTTCTGCAATATTTTTTCAGCATTCGTCCGTAATAATGCCGTTTATTGACAAACTCCGCATGAGATAGTTCCATTCTCGTAGGGTTCACTTTGCTCAATTATTGCGTACACCTTCCACCAAAAATAAATATTTGAAAAGATAACAACAGTTTTTTGGATAATTAATTGGATGATTAATCAGGTCATATAGTTACCGTGATATCCACCACAGTCAATAATAATAGTGTTGCAATTAAGAAATGATTACTTAACTTCCAGGTCCCATTACATAAAGATATAGTAGTTCTAGTAGAAAATGAACTGCATATAATTTAAATCGCGTACGAAGGACTGTATTCTATCTGAGGAGTTGTGTGCAGCAAAGCCAAAGGCATTGGCGCGGGCACGTGGCTTTCAGATGTGCTTTCTTTTCGCGAGTGCTCGTGAAAAAAAAGCAAATATGAAAGTCAGGCCTTCGCGCCTGTGCTTTTGCCTCTGTTACACGCAACTGATGAGATGCATTTGAGTGCGATGATATCTACAAACTAGGCACTAAAACCTGAAAGAGAAAAAAAGAAATGCTACTACCGCAGCATTTATTATTGGCGCATATCTGTATGCATTTCACAATGAATATTTATAGCAGTGCACGCACTCAAGAGTGATATTTTAATGATAATTGCTTCGTAGAATATTCAAAAATGAAGACAAAAATATGCCACGTATTTTCTAGTTTACTAACTTTGCGATTTTTTTAATCCACGCTTCTGTTTAGAACTGTCGACGTCAACATTCGTTGCCGAGCGATTTCATGTGAACGGACGCGGTTACGACTGAAGCGTTTTCTTAACGTTTCCTTACCAGACTATTCGGTGTGTGGCCGGAGCAGCAAGCACACGGCCGAGACAGGACTGGAGATCCCAGATGATAGCCCTCAGGCCCGCATCTACGGAGGTGAACAGGCCGTTGACTCCTGGCCCTGGATGGTCGAGATGCGAGCAGCCGCCGACGAAGAGGTTATTTTTTAATAATTTTATTGTTTGTGTTGCAATCAATGCACTGTTATACCGCCTTCCCGTGTCTACTTTACAATTGTCCTTTAAAATTGAATGGGGCCTGGACACATCGTCTTGTATAGTAAATGTGAGCTGTTAGTGGTTTAAACTTCTCGTTGACATGGCCACCGTGCTGGTTCTACTTGATGTGATCATCATAGTTTATCTTTAAATACTTGACAAGGGGAAAAATCTTTATGGTCTAGCAATAACAACAGTGTTGTTTGTTCTTATTATATTCACTTTTAAGACGATCAATTTTGTGCAATTTTAAAACACGTTACTTTTAACACAAAATGGGTTTAAGAAATGGATTTAATGCGAAAAGCGTCACGCTCGAGTGTAGCGAAAGACCGTTACACACATGCCAAGAAAACGCACAGTATACAAAGTCCACAGCGGGCAATGTATAAGCTCATAAATCACATAAAAGGCCTATATTTACCTGGTCAAAGTACCCGCGGTAGCACATCGCGGAAATTTCTTTTTATTGAAGTCGCATCGCCTCTGTGTTGATCGCGCCATACATTTTACAAGCAGAGTCCCACCTCACTATGATCTTGGCATGCTGCTACACATCACAATTGATCGCAGTGCCGAGTGCCAGATTATTATATTAACTCTTTGCCTATTGACCTTCATCAATAGTTCGTGCGATAGCCGACTTTGTGAGAAAATGAAATAGATGTCAATAATATTGTATCACAAAAACGCTTTCACAGTGACTTCATTAAGCGGGTCCAGCGCGCACTTCTCACATATTCGGTCTATTTAACGGCCATTTCAAGAAGTTTATTATTGGGCAGGAGATAAAATTACAGGGGGCACTTTACTGAGCTAGTTGTTCCCATAGCTCGGTGTTTACTAACACACCAAACAAATAAATTGAACATCGCCAGCACGGTCTGGGCACGAGTGCTTCGCTCTGACCACTGCTCGTCGAAAGAGGAGCGGCCTTCGAATCGTCATCTTCAATTTCTTTGATCAGAAAGAAACAGGAAATTTACGTTTGCTGTCCCCACAGCTGAAGAGTACCGCTAGTGCAGCCAAAGCTACAAGCGGGGGCTCGCCGGCGCTCCTGGCTTTGATGCATGTACTTCTAGCGCGAGTGCTCGTTCTGCGGAAGAACGGTTCAAAGCAGCGACCGCGAGATCTCGTGCTTGTGGCATTAGCTGCAGTCTCAGCTCAAGGGTGAACGGAGTATATTGTGCCAAAATCCATAGCGTTGCGATTATACTTCGTCTGAGCTTAACATAGACTAGCTGCGAAGGCTGTGCAAGCGCGAGTGGGTAGCCTTGGCTGTCTACACTGGAGCACTGGCTGCAGGAACGCTCGTTCAGTCGCCGAGGCTTCATTCAAAGCAACTAGCTCGCGCGTTTAGCATGCTTGGATATCAATAGTCTATGGCAAGGTGAGACAAACTATAGCAGTCAGCTCACAGTGGTGTTCAACATTGTGTACTACCTCTAACGTTAATCATATTTCTTCTAAAGCGTGTAAGCCTAGGTTTATTCGCTGAATTCGTTTTGAAGTTTGAATGAGTTGTCGCATTTCTCATCCCAATCAGAGCCCCATTTAGAACCCCGAAGGTCCTCCGAAAAAGTAATGGTCACGGTGAAGTGGTTGAGAACAGTTTACGCAGGTTTCGACACACTTCTCCTTGTCTGGTAACACACGCCCGATCAGGGAAACCGAACGAGCGACTTTTAAATTGAGCTATATTTAGACCGATCCTAGCACCTTCGATTGGATCAATGCTTTTTGTTTAACCGATTACGATCTAGAGGATTTTTTTTATGTAGCTTCTCGGGTAGCACAGGGGTCTGTTATGGAACCTTTATTTTTCTAATTTTCGTTAATGACCTCTCTAAACGAATTACTCCCCCTGTTAGACTGTTTGTGGATGACTGTGTCGTAGATCGTGTTATTTGCAATCCACGTGACAATGCCACGCTGCAGTCTGATTTTAACCTGATTTCACGCTGTTGCGTTGACTGGCGAATGAAACTTTACGTTAATTACTAAATCCGAAAGTGTGGGTGTCTCGAGACTGCTAAAAAAACTAACCCTGTCGCACACGTTTTCAATGATATGTTGTTAACATCTTTGGTTTTATACAAGTAGCTTGGTATTCACACAACATGTAACGTTTCTTGGAACATGCACATAAACTACGTATTTTATAATTATAATCGTATGCTGGGATTTCTACGCCGCCACTTTGTTTTTACTATTTCCCCTGTTAAACTACAATAAGAGTTCTACTTCGACCTAAACTTAAGTACGCATGTTCCATTTGGGATCTTGGGCATGTAATTCAAAGCCGCTCCGCCCGTTTTGTTCTATTCAAATATTATCATACTGCTAGTGATTCATCAATGAAATCAACCCTGGACTTCCCTGACCTGGCCTTACCCCGCAGACACCTTCGTATATGTCTCTTTCATAAACTTTCTAATTCTACCCTGATTTTCAAAGATAAATCCTTTATTCGCGCACCATACGAGTCATCTCACACCGATTATCAGGTTAAGGTGGGAACGCTAGCGTGTAGTACGAACATATACTTTGACTCCTTTATCCCGAAAACATCAAACGACTGAAACCACCAACCTCCGAAGCCACCTATGTCAGGAAACACGCCAACGATTTCATATTTCACATCCACTCCTCTCTGTAATGTCTTCAGGACCTGAGAGTATAAAAACAATCAAGCACGCATCAAATAAACAAATAACAAATAAACAAACAAATACTTTTAAAGATCAAATTTGATAACTTCTTGTGTAGTTATAAGAAGTTCTTATAAAGAATGAGTTAAAATTTCCCGTGCATATCTGTTTAAAAAGATACTAAATAGGAATATAAACACGAGCTTACCGCAGATCGAGAATTCAGATTGATCAGTGATCGAATATAATTTATCAATATATTTATACGCCCCAAAATACATAACAATAATAAACCTAAGAGAAGGAGAACAGAGGGGCATAGAACAAACACACATCTCTAGACACAGCTAAGTGAATGGTGCGTGACTGAAAAAGCTCGAAAGAGAAAGAGGGATTAATAACCTTCCAATATTGACGCGGGGTGTTTAACAACAAGGAGGGTAATGTATTATTAAAATGATGGGATTTTGCATCTAGGAGTGCTTCTCTATACATACCAGCTGCAGTACGATACGCCGATCATCGCAGTTCGTTGTGTGATAGCTTTGGAGCACGAAATATCCTTTTTTTCTTCTTTGCTAGCCTTGTTAAAAACACGTTATACCAAGGCGATTTAGGAGAGGACGAAATTAAGCGAAGCGGGGGGGGGGGGGGGGGGGGGCGCGTGCGCTTTCATGAGGTACGCAACTTGTTTTTTAAGTAAACACCAGTTATTCTCAAATGAGCGATCATCAAAACAATCCGGGTAAGAATCAAGAAAAAGGCAAAGGTTCCTATTAATGAAATCAAAATCAGCTCGTGCATAATCAGACATTTGCTTAATTTCTTTTGACCTAAAGCATGTAGGTAGATCTAAGGAGAAATGCAATAAGGAATGATCACTAAGACCTGGCAAATGAGTTGACGAAGAGATGAGCTCAGGCGATGTTGTTAAGATGAGGTCTAAAACAGAAGAGGTCGAAGCAGCAATACGCGTAAGTTGGGTGACCATTTGTGAGAGATTAAAATCAATACACAAGTTCACGAATTCCTTGCATTCAGACGAGAAAGAACTAAAATGAGTAGAAACATCTGACCAAACTATAGAAGGATAAAATCGCCCAAAAGAATGACTGGAGCATTTGGAAAGCGAAAAATGACTGTGTTGATTGCATCGTGAAGTTTAGAAACAAAATTGTCACTTATAGGGGGAGGGCGATAACACGCGCCTAAAATGTATTTTTGTTTTTTTAAGCTGAGACCAACCCACACTAGCTCCAATTCAGGTACCACGTTGATATGAAATGACGGTGTGTTTTCCGATACCGCAATCAATACGCCGCCACCGCTTCTTTCAGCCCTGTCATGACGGTATATATATATAGATATATATATACATATTTCTGACAATTTAATATCTCGCTGTTACGTATCTTGCCTGATAACCAGGTCTCACAAAGAACAAAAACGTCAGCATTAGAAGAATCAATAATGGAAGATAAGTCATCGTTCTTGTTCATGACGCTTCTAATGTTAGTAAAAATAACAGGAATAATATTAGTAAAAGTGATAACATCACAGCTTCCACCCCTCGCTGCAAGTTATTGCGGAGTTTGATTGGGATTAGAGGCATTATGTGGATGCAAATTAAAGTGTGGTAGAGTAGTTGAACGAGAGCTGGATCGAAGCTCCGGTATTATGTGCAAACAAAGTGCGCTCCGGCTCCCGGGGGTTCAATTCAAAAACAGAGTCAGAGGCAGGTACATAGACATAGCATTTGTTTCCAGTGAGAACTTGTCAAACCGCAGTTTAAAAGGCCGTCCCCCTGTCCTCGCAAACTGGAGTAGTTTACGCCGAGCTAGACGCACCGAAGGGATAGAATCTTCACTTACTGAGAAGTTGGTGCCCTTGAATTTATAGGCATTTGAAAGCACCGCCTCTTTGTCTTTCTAAGAAGCCGTTTTAACAATAATTGGGCGACACCGTTGCTGATTGAATTGGCCAAGGCGATGAGCCCTTCCCATACATGACGCGGTGTTGTATCCCTGCGGGCGTCCGGCTTCATCACCAAGTATCGGCGATCGGCGAGATGAACCGGTCACACCTGGCGCCCTCGTTTTCCCGAGGCATGAAAGAAAGGAACTGCCTCGGCTGCCCCGACAGAACTGGCAGCGCCGGGAAGTCTACTCATCTGGCGTAGTTTTGAACGTCCCGGACAAAGGACGCTCCTACAGCCTCGAGCTACCTGGGGGTAGCAAGACAACGAAAAAGAAAACGGTCTGGTGCAAGAGCGCGCGCAAGAGCGTGGTG